TCCCCTCACCCCCAGGCCAATCATGGCCTGGGGTCAGGGGAGTGTACACAGTCTCCTCCTGCCCTGCAAGGGGCGCATGGCATTTAGAGTGAGCTGCCAGCTGTTCAGCACATTAGTTCCGAATAGTTCATCAGTTCAGAACAGCTGGTGGTTCATTCACTCTAAGCACTGTGCGCCTCTTGCAGGGCAGGGATAGGGAGTGAGAGACTGTCCAAGCTCTCCTGCCCCAGGCCCTCATTGTGTGAATTCATTAGAGTATGGAAATACACAGTAATATTTGTTGGATGAATCTTTTTTTCTTAAGTCAATCCAATACACAAACACTCCTCAAAATGTCTCATTTCCTGTTCAGATAAGCTGGCGGTTCTGTCTAGGTGCTGGGGAGCAGGGGACAAAGACTTCACATGCTCCCTCTGCCTCCAGGCCAATCTCTGGGTAGGGGGTCTGTGAGCAGGGAAGCATGGAAGTGTCCTGGCCCTGCCCCTTTTGGGGCAGCCCGGCCACTTCAAAAATGTGTGAAGTGGCCCCCTTTCTAAAATTATTGCTCACTCCTGCTTCATGATATGGTCTCTATTGATCAGGGTTTAACTATATGCACAACAGCTCAGGACAAAACAGGTCTGTGTATATTTATTTTTATTTAATAAAAATACACACACACTGGTAATTTGTGGCCTATGGCATCCCCTTCAGTAAAATGGATGGAAGTGGACTCATGGCAACGAATATGTCAAGTGCTAAACCCTACCCCACCTTGACATGCTCCCTGATCCATTTCCTGTAAGTGGAGGAAATCCTACATACCCTGCTAGTAAATAAGGCCATTCATACAAAATCCGGGGGGGGGGGGGCTGCAGGAATGTTATGATGCTATCGGATGGGGGCTTGGCCCCAAATAGGGGCTTGTTGGCCAGGCTTCATTTTTAAATAAAGTAAAATATTATGTCCAACACAAAAGGTTTCAACATTGTCTTTATTTATAGCAGGAGTGGGGAACCTTTTTTGGTGCAGGATCTGGACGACGGGTGGGTGCAGCAGGGGGTGAGGGTTCAAGGTCTGGGTGGGAGGTAGAGTGCAGGAGCAGCGTGGGAGTAGGCTGTCTGGCCACAGGGAGAGGGCAGGAGCAAGGAAAGGTGCTGGAGCAAGCTAGTGGCAGGGAATCTGGCCAGGGGGCAGGGTGTCTGGCCAGGGAGAGAGCACAGGAGTGGGCTGGGTGGGGCAGGGTCTCTGTATGGGGAATGAGTGAAGGGGCTGGGGGTGTGGGGTCTGGACATGGTACTAGTTTTCATAACACGTTAGGCACAGTGTAACATGGCCTCCCACTGCTCCCATTTGCCAGATTCTGACCAATGGGAGCAAAGAGAAAGCCTCCAGGAAGTGTGTCCCTGTGAAGCTGTTCCCCCAGTCGAGGGAAGGAAAACAAGCGTGTGGAGTCATTTTTGGCTCCACTTGCTCCCTGCGTGCCGAATCTAGCAAGGAGGCTTGGGGCTTCCTGCCCCCCGCCAGAAGCTATCATTACAATCTTATGGAGAGCTATAAGGCTGTAGCGCCAGTGCTGGCTTCCTGCTGCAAGGGTAGTTCAGAGGGGGGACCTAAGCTGGAGCTCCAAAAGACCTATATCTGGCTCTCTAATGAGCCATAGGTTGCCGACCCCTGCATGAGATGATGTGCAGTTGTATGATCCTTTGATGTTGTGGCTTATGTGGTGAGGGCCTCTGATAAGTGTCATTTGCATAAATGCATAGACAGAGTTGGCAACGGGGTTTATTGCAGGAATAGGTTCCTGGGTAGGGTTGCCAGATGGCTGAAACAAAAACACCTAACCCCCCCCAAAAAAAAAACACCAGGAAAAAATTCTGCTGAAGGAAAAAAAAGGAGGGGGGGAGGAGACCAAAGTTGTTGAGCAAAAAAAAAAAAAAAAGGACTCCAAGACTTTAAAACAGCCCTTTAAGAGTGAGTGCAGGGATAGGAAAAGGGGAATAGGTGAGCACTAAGACCCAGGCCCCTGCCATATGGAACCAGGTAAGCAGGGGGACTGAGGGTGTTGGGAGCTGTGGGGGAGGAGGGGAGGGTTGGGGAGTCTGGGCGCTGAGTGTTTATAGGGTTGCCACGTGCCCAGTCTTTTCGCCTCCTGGCCAGGGAAAAAAAAATCAGAAAATACTGGATGTTTTAGGTATCTGGTATTTTCTGAATTTTTTTACTAGACAAGAGGGCTACGTCTAGACTGGCATGATTTTCCGCAAATGCTTTTAACCGAAAAGTTTTTCCATTAAAAGCATTTGCGGAAAAGAGCGTCTAGATTGGCATGGACTTTTTGTGGAAAAGCATCCGTGCCAATCTAGACGCAGTTTTGCGCAAGAAAGCCCCGATCGCCATTTTTGCCATCGGGCCTTTTTTACGCAAAACAGTTTTCAGCTGTCTACAGGCCCTTGTGCACAAAAGCTTTTGCCCGAACGGGAACGTCAAAGCATTTGTGCAAGAAGCACTGATTCTGGACAGTAGAACGTCAGTGCTTTTGCACAAAATCAAGCGGCCAGTGTAGACAGCTGGCAAGTTTTTCCGCAAAAACTTGCCAGTCTAGACGCAGCTGAGGTGACAATACCAGACTGTCTGGGTAAATACCGGACACCTGGCAACCCTAGTCCTGGGTGAATGTGTCTGAGATGTGATGTGTGGCTGCTGGAAAGAATTTGCTTCAGGTTAGCAGCTGCCTGCATGGCGAAGGAGAATCGGTCTTTCACTTTTAAGGTAACGAGGCCTTTTCCAGAGGAAGCCACAAAACAGGGCTAGGAAGAGGTGGGTGAGCAGACAGAATAACCCAGGGGTGCCCCAATTTTTTGGGTGCGCGATGCAGATGTGTATAGCTAAAGCGGTGCTGAAAATGATGTTTGTGCCTGGTATCGCACTGCAGACACCCCGCCAGCGGCAGGGCCGCCCCTTTCCAACCTACTGTCAACAGGTGGGGAAGATCCAATAATAAGAGGGGGAGTTAAACGTCCGGACCATCCAGTCGCCCCAGGGCCACCTACCAGCGGCTGCTCCCGGGGGGGGTTTGCT